GAAATAGAGATACCAGTTGCATACTCAAAGATCTCAACCTCAGTAACAATAAGAAAAAGATATAAACACAGAATAAGATATTTGACTATTTATCCTTAAAGATTATATTAGAGAACACATACAGAACCCAGTTGAAATTCTATTTGAAATGATTTGTTTACTAGTTTAATAGGATTTTTTTACCAGTATGGTATTGGGACTATTGTTGATAATCAAATGGCTTTTAAATTCTTTAATTTAGCAGCAAATGAAATAATTGAACCTCTTTTTCTAATTCTTCATGCCTAAGGAAACAATATCAACAAAAAAATTGGAATCTTCTTTCTTGCGGATATGTACTTAGAAGGACTAGGTGTTGAAAAAGATACGAAAAAAGCATTTCAGATCTTTTCTAAACTTGCTGATAAAGGGTCTTTGAATATGGTAGCTTATTGCTATAATAGTGGGTTTGGTGTTGAAAAAAATGAAGACATAGCTTTCATATTATATTTAAAATCAGCTGAAAAAGGAAATATTTTAGCACAATCTATCATCAGCGTGTGTTGTGAATACGGAACAGGAATAATAAAAGATTTAACCAAAGCATTTCAATGGAGTACAAAATCTGCTCTTGCTAGAAATATTAATTCAATGTATAATGTCGGGTATCCTTATGACAATGAAGATAAAAAAGAAACATTTAAATGGTTTTTGATGGCTGCTGAAAGGGGCGATACTAGAGCACATATATTTTAGGAATTTATCATGCATTTGAATGGTATAAAAAAGCCGCAGAAAATGATGATGCTGATGGTCAATACAGACTTGGAAAATGCTTTTATGAAGGATATGGAACTAAAAAAGATATTGTAAATGCTGTATACTGGTTTAATAAAGCAAACGAAAATGGAATGCAGATGCCAATGCGTTATTAGAAGAAATAGTCAGTAATATAATATAATAGTTAAAAACAAACAAATTTTTAATTAATACTGAATTATGACTTTTTTTTTTGTTAATAGACTTATTTTTTGATTAAATTTATTTTTCGATGCATTTAATCCTCTATTATTTTTAATTACAATCAAATTATTTAAAAAGAAATAAAATTAAGGATTAAAAATAAAATATCTGGGTCTGTTTTTATTGCTATCAATGCACTTCGGTCATGAAATCAACAAAACGGGGGTTAGGTTTAAATTTACAGTATATAAAAAAATTAAAAAATGCAATTTACTTATTTGATTTTTTTAAATTTAACAGAAATAATTTCATATGTATCATTATTAAGTCGTGATAGAGGAATATTTCAATTCGACGCTTGTAACGGAGACCAATGATTTCAGAAAGATTTTTAACAACTTGAGAAACATCATTTTGCGAGTTTTCATCATGTGTACAATATAATAGATTATTTTAAATTTATGCCTTGTTTATTTATGAGGTGCTAGAGGTATAGCCATTTCTCTTTTCTGTAATATTAATTAACAAATCAACATTTCTTTCTGCATAGTACATTTCCGGGTTTCCGTTTTTTTTGGTTGTATTACTTGGGACATATGTATGAAATTGCTAAAGAATAATGCTATTTATTTTATTTTTTGATCCTTAATTTTATTTCTTTTTAAAAAGATTGATTTAATCTAATCTAATTTAAATTTGATTGTAATTAAAAATAACAGAGGATTCAATGCATCGAAAAATACATTTAACCAAAAAAAAGGTTATTAACAAAAACAATATAATAATTTGTATTTAATTAAAAATTTGTTTTATTTTTTATTACATTATATTACTGATTATTTCTTCTAATAATCTATCGGCATCTGCATTTCCATTTTCGTTTGCTTTATTAAACCAGTATACAGCATTTACAATATCTTTTTTAGTTCCATATCCGTCATAAAAGCATTTTCCAAGTCTGTATTGGCCATCAGCTTCATCATTTTCTGCGGCTTTTTTAAACCATTCAAATGCTTTGACTCGATCAATATTAATTCCATAACCATTTGCATAATAAATTCCTAAATTATATTGTGCTCTGTTATCTCCCTTTTCAGCAGCCTTCAGAAACCATTTGAACGCTTCTTTTTCATCTTTGCCCACGCCCATACCGAGGCTGTAACTACACCCGACATTATATATTGCATTAATATTTCCAGCAAGAGCAGATTTTTTATCCCATTGAAATGACTTAGTTACATCTTTTGATATTCCTGTTTCAAAATAATAACACATACTAACATTAGATTGTGCTAAAATATATCCTTTTTCAGCTGATTTTAAATATAATTCAAAAGCTTTTTCTTCATTTTTTTCAACAAAAAATCCATGATCATAACAATAAGCTACCATATTCGAAGCTATAAGAGACCCTTGTTCAGCAAGTTTGCAATAAATCTGAAATGCTTTTTTCGTATCCTTTTCAACACCTAGACCATCTAAATACATATCCGCAAGAAAGATGGTTCCAATTTCTTTATTGATATTGTATGGTTTCCTTAAACATGAACGTGAAGAATTAAAAAAGGAGGTATCAATTGCTGCTAAATTAAAGAACTTAAAAGCCATTTGATTATCAGCAATAGTCCCTATGCCATACTGGTAAAAAAATCCTATTAGGCTGGTAAACAAATAATAAGATGGATGGCTAATCATTTCAAATAGAATTTCAACTGGGTTCTGTTTGTGTTCTCGAATATAATTTTTAAGGATAATTGGTCGAATATCTTGGAACTGTTTCTTGCGTATATCAATGAAAAATTCAAACAGATCATTAATAAAACCATTAACTTCGGTCGTGACATTAATAAAAGGAAGGCATGGTTTAATTTCAGTTCCTTCATTTTGTCTTAATAAAGAAAAATTTCATAATTTAATAAATCTTTGAGGAAATTTTAAAAAAATAATAAAATATAGCTTACTCGTTTAACTTTTCTAATTTAACAGAAATAACTTCATCTGTGACATTAAAAGGTTGCGTTTGAGGAGTTTCAAGTTCAACACTTGCATCAGAGAAATTTGATTTAGAAAGATTTTTAACTACTTGAGAAACGTCTGGTCGTAAATTTCTATCGTGTTTCCAGTAATCTGTTAAATAATAATAATATTATTAATTTAATTAATTAATAGTCGATCTTTAACAAATTCGTACCTGTATATATAGCCATTTCTCTTTTGCCTTTTGCAATATTGTTTAACAAATCAATATTTGACAAAGATTCCATTTCAAAGGGTGAATTACCGCTCGCATCAAAACTTTCATTTTTGCCAATTTTGCTGAAGAGTTCCAAATATTGAGGATCCATGTATTGTATTTGACCAAGATTAAGGAATCTTAAAGAATCGGAAATAATTTTCGTTAATCCAAAAACATTAAATTTAATGATCCCATTATGAATAAGAATATTTTCAGAGTTCTAATTAAATAATTTTTTTAAAAAAAATTAAAAATTAAAAATAATTCATTTATGAAATTTATGATTAAATAGAAAAAAATTACGAATTTCCCACTGATATCATTCGAATGTAAAAACATCAAAATATTTGCAATTTGTTGTGTGAAATTTAATTTTGCATTCCAATCCAATTTTTGGAAATTATTTTTCAAATATTGACGAAGAGAACCTTCATTAACATATTCGAGGATAATCATATAATTATTTGTATTCTCTATAAAAATAACAATAAATAAATAAAATTAATAAATGAGCAATTAATAATATTTAAATATTAAGCATATTACATATATTTATTTATTTACCTTGCTTAGTGATGCCATAAAATTTAAGAATATTATCATGAATTTCCAATTTATGATATCTTTTAATCTTTTTCAATTTAAAATAATGAAAAGAAATATTAATAGGAAATTCAAGTTATATAATAAAAAATTTAATTTAACTCACTTCGTTTATTAAATTGTCCAGTGTAAATTTATCATTCAAAGAAATGCATTTAAGGGCAATAGTTTTTTGAGAAGTCTTAAAAATTGCTTTATAAACATTTTCACTAATTAATTTCACATTCTCAAATTCGGAATATTGATAAAATGTGATATTTTCTTTTTGAAAAGTATCTTCAAAAATTTCAAATTGTCTATCCAGATTTCCCATTCTTTTTCGTTTGTCTTTTCTTGAGATTTACTATTCTTTAAGTTAGACCAAATAAAATGGTATTAATCGACTACATTAAACTCGAATTAGGGAATTTACCTTCCCGCCTAGTGCAACGATATTATAACCTATTAAAGTAAACCTTTTATAATTAAAGTTTGTATTGTATTACTTTAAAAGCACACAAATTATAAAATAAATTTTGTTGTAAACCAATAAATTTAAATGCTAAAACTATTTATATTGCTTAAATTATACATGTTCTCAAATTATTTATTAGTGCTTTTTCATGGAAATTGCACAATTTCATTTTTAATTAACAACTTAACATAATTAATTTATACTAATTACATTGACATGCTTACTTAATACTATGATCTAAAATTATCTTTACCTTAAAAACCAATACGACGAATATTTGAAAAATAAATTTCATATTTCTAGATTCCAAAATGAACTAACATTGATTCAATTCATTTGAAAATACAATTAGCTAAAAAAAAAAAATAAGTTATTTAATAAATATTGTCATAATCATAAAGAAATATTTGTTTATTTTTAACTAATTACTGATTATAATTCATTGGCATCGATATCCATTCCCCATTGCTTTAATTAAGCAGTAGAAAGTATTTACAATATCTTTCTTAGCTCCACATCCTTCATAAAAGAATTTTCCAAATCAGTATTGGTTATTTGTATGATCATTTCATTTTCTGCAGCTTTTTATACCATTCAAATCCTATCTCTTAATCCCTCGCCATTTTTACAAAAACATCCCAAATTATTTTGTGCAAGAAAATATTCCTTTTCGGCAGCCTTCAAATACCATTTGAATTCTACTTTTCATCTTTCACGCCTTAACCACTGTCAACACAACATCCTTTTGCTTCATCTTTGTGCAACATAATTTCCTTTTAGCAGATTTAAAATTTTTTCAACGTCAAATCCATTTATATAACAATGTGCAACAAGATCTAAACCTGTAAGAGACTCTTTATCTGAAAAGTTTTTTTTTTATATCACAGACTATTCAAATGTATATCCGCAAGGTAAATGGTTCTAATTTTTTTTTTTAATTTTATATAGTTTATTTAAGGATGAGGTATTTCATTGGCTGCCAAACTAAAGAATTTAAATGCCATTTGATTATCAGTAACAGTCCCAATTCCACTGGTAAAAAACTCCTATTAAGCTAGTAAACCAATAATGCGATGGATAGCTAATGTAATCGTGAAGAATTTAACTGAGTTCCTATTGTGTTCTCTAATTAATAATTGGTAGAATCTTTCGAGGCAATCTATCGAAGAGATCAATGAAAAATTCTTGACAGCAAAAGGAGGATCAAGTTAAATTTCGGTTAATTTTCTTAATGAAGAATAATTTTGTAATTTAATAGATATTCTGGAGATTTAAATTATATATAAAAAAAAAAGCAAATTACATATTAGAATTTTCCGATTTAAGAGAAATAACTTCATCTGTGACATTGTTAAGTTCAACACTTGCATCAGAGGTGACTTTAGAAAGGTTTTAATCCCTTGAGAAATGTCTGGTCGTAATCTATTGAATATTTTCATTGCACAATTATTAATTTATTACATAAACAAAATATTAGATCTTTGATAAATTAGTACCTCCTTATAATTATAGATGTCCATTTCTCTTTTTCTTTCCGTTATTTAATAATCAAAATTTAATGGTTACATTTCAAAAGGAAGATTACCACCAGAAATCCCCAGAAAATAATTTCTAGACCAAAAAAATAAAACCTTTTTTTGCCAGTTATGTCGAAGAGTTCCAAATATTGAGGATCCATAAATTGTATTGGATATGAGTATTTGTAAGTAATTATAAAGATCTAGCCATTCCAAAGCATTTAATTTGATGCTCCCATCATGAATAAGAATATTTTTCAGAGTTCTAATCAAATAATTATAAAAATAAATAAAAATTAAAAATAATTTATTTGAGAAATTTCTTTTTAAATAAATTGTCCAGTCATTCAAAAAAAACACATTTAAGAGCAATATTTTTTGAGAAGTTTTAAAATGACTTTATAAACATTTCTGCTAATCAATTTTATTTTAAAATTCTCAAATTTGGAATATTGATAAAATTGGGATATTTTCTTCTCGTTAATATTTATAATAATAACAAAATTGTCCATCCGGTTCTCACATTCTTTTTCGTCTGCCTTTTCTTGGGAAATGGTTAATCATAATAGTTACTATGATTATTGGTACATATACGATGAAATTAATTATGCCTTAGCTCAAATAAAAATATCAAAGTTCGAAAATTCTAGAATGGATTGTTTTTCTTTTTGAACTATTATAGGAAACTTAAGTTTGCAATGTATTACCTTGAAAACGTAAAAAACTATTAAATAATTGAATTTAAAAAATTCAATAAAAAATAATGCAATACCTACAAATTTAATGCTGTCATTTTCGGAAAGGGAAACC